ACACATGGCAAGGAAGTTGTAAAATGTGTAGAGGAACCTTAAGAGCAGCGTACAAAGTTGTATACGGATACAGAACTGTAAATTCTCAGCACCAGAGCCAGGAGGCTGTGTGTCCTCTGATCATACTTAGAAGGCTGGGCTTCAAGTTCAGTATGGTTTCTGTATCTCAGGAATGGGGAAAAACAGAGCAATTACAGCTATGTCTATAATGGGCTGAAAATTACAGGTAATGCAAACATCTGCAGGTATTTCAGTAAAATACCTGGAAAATATCCACCAAAAGAATGAACAAGATTTAAAAGTACAGTTTCGCTCACTACTTGTTCACAGTTAGATGTCCTAAATATCCCAGCAGCACTACAGGAGGCGGGGAGCCCGGCAGAGTTGAACATGAGTCGGCAGTGCACCCTTCCGGTGACAGAGCCTAACCAGGCTGCATTAGCAAGAGCACAGCCAGCTGCTTGGGGGAGGGATTATTCCCCTCTTTGTTGCTTGTGAGGCCACGTCTGCAGTCTGTCCAGTTTTGGATTCCCCCATACAAAATATCAATATAACTAAGTGAGTCCAAAGGGCTAGAGCACAGGAGGCCGAAGAAAAGGCTGAAGGAACTCTTTTCTCCAGAAAAGGGACAGGTAAGGACAGGTATAATTGCAGCCTACAACTACAGAGAGCTGGACTCAGACTCACAGCAAAAGAACAAGATCCTGTGGTCTTGAGGGAGGGAAATTCTAGTGAGATATAACAATAATATTTGCATGGTGAGACAGGCTAAGTACTGGAGCAGACTGCCCAGAGGCTATGGTATCTACATCAATGGAGATATCCAAAACTTGACTGGACAATCTGATTCAACTTTGATGTTAGCTCATCATTGAGCTAGGGTTCGGCTAGAGAGCCTCCAGTGATCCCTTCTAATCTTGGTTGCTCTATGATTCCATGTTTATTATTTTGGAGGAGGACAGGGGTAAAAAAAGAAAGCTGAAGGTGGTGGTAGATGCAAAAAGATTTTATACTAAGCAATTAGAAGTGTTTATTACTAATATTATCAGCAGAAAGAATAACAAAGAATGACCATTTAACCATATATAGTACTTAGTTTTTGCAAAAGCAAATATTTATTTTGCATAACATTTCCAGAGCTGGTTCAAGAAGCATCGCTTTGTAATAGCCCTTCTGTAAAATTACCCTCACCTTTAATCTTGTTTGGCTATGCATTATAACTGTCAGTACTTCCACACAAAAAAATGCTTCAAGTTACACCTTTGAGAAAGATTTCTAATGAGAAGTTAGAAAGACTTAAGTTTACAATATGCAAAAGCAGTATGGTTCAGAGTATTCCTGGATGTATTTCTAATACACAGGGGCTTTTCCCCAGTTGTAAAGGAAACAAATCATTTATTATTGTCGCAGAACTAACCATGATGTTCTGTTTTAGAAAAGTACCACAAATACTATCATCATAATGATAGCATGTGGTGAAACAAGCATAACTAAGTTTGAAACCAAATGTTCAAGTCAGGAAACAGTTCCTAAGTAATGTTTGGTTTGAGATCCCTCAAATGTCAACAGATACAAGATGAATAAACAGCCAGTCTGTTTTCAGCATCCTCCAAGGGATGCTGATGCACAGCAGGTTGGCACAGATGCCCCAGACAATTCTCATCTTGTTTCAGTAGACTATCCCACATCTGAAGATGTTTTACTTCTGTGGCAGAATTGAGGACCAAAGCCAAGGAGCAGTTCTTTAGCATAAGAGTTCCCGCCAACAGCAGGTGATAAAATCAGCTGGAAGCAGAACATGAGGCGCTGCCCAAAGGGCGCATCTACAGAGCAGTTGGAATCAGGTAGGTACCATACATCCTTAAGTGTCACGTTGGTTTATTGATAGGGTTTTGACAGCAGATATCAGGTAAAGCAGATCAGCTAGATTCAGAAAACATTCCAGTCTCGTTGGCTTCACATGCCTGTCAATTTTCAGTCTATCAAGCAACATATCTCCTCAGCTGGTGCAGGCGAACTTCAACCAAATCGAAGCAGAGTACAGCCAGCTGGGCCATGGAGGAGGCAGTCTGAACTACTCACCGTTCACAGCAGATGTTCACACAGGGACTCAGTACTTTGAAAGCTATATGTCATGCATTAATCACTGCATGCTCTCAATGTAGGCATATCTCATATTTAGAAACCTAGAACAACTTTTTTGTTTTTAAAGAGATGGCTCTTCATGTGAGATTCACATTGACATAATGTTTATTAGCCATAGAGAACATAGTAAGCTTATCTACTCTGAGTCATTCCAGTAAGGTCTTTGGCAGTATAGAGCATTATAGATGACTTCTCATTTCTGTGCCTTCAGTTTAATTCACATTTAGGACAGGTAAGCACCATATAACAATCACCTGGCACGGAATTCATTGAACTGTTATGCCACCTTTGTGTCAGCCGTTCTTGGTAGACTACAAAGAAGCAGGTACTACACACATATATTTTGAAGTCAGTCATCTAAAACACAGTACCAGCATAATGCCACAGAGGAGGAAAATATCTGTTAGAGCTGCATGATAAGGACATGAATGAAATGGCCTTACTAGAGTGCCAGAGAACGAAATCCACAAGCAGGAGTGGGACCAAGCATATTTTTTGCTTATCGAGCCATCTCAATGTATGAGACAAAACAGAATACTTTAAACACTGCTCAACTTCACAATTTAGCCAACAGCCATGCGTTTCAGCTAAAATCCCGATACTGACTTGGAAGACAGATTTTACATTTGCAGTCCTTCTCCCTCAGACTTCATCTCCTCTGTCTTTATTACAGCACTGTGAATTTCACCTTCAACTCCCAGGAATTCATTCCTAAACAAATGGTTAATTGAGTGACACAAGCAAGTCTCGTTACTGTGATGTTCCAAACCCAGCTGCAAGACATTGCACATCGCAAAAGCCAAGTTAAAAATTAAGGCAATTTTAGTTACATGAACAAACAATTCCTTCAGCCAATTCAAGCTACTGAAGACGGCTCTGTTAGATTGTCTTAACACACAAAAGAACAATTTTGATTTCCCAAGTGGAAAGCTTAGAAGCCAAGTTTCAGCATGAAAATGTGTCATTAGCAAACTGTGATAAACCCTAAAATCAAAGACAATGATATAATAATGACAATATTACCATACAATGAAAATAGTATTAACTTACTAAGACAAGAAAAATACAATCTATTTAATTTTCTACAGGCTTCTACATAAAAGCAAAAAATAGATCTGTATCAGCAACATCCTGCATCTGCTACCGAGCATGAAGTCGATTCTGTAAGGATTTCTGCCAGTGATTCGTCACTCGGCACTGGGTGGGACCTTCAAATATTTTTATACTGGGATAGAAAGTTGAGTGAAATATGTATCAAATAAAATCCCTAAATATATATAAAGCCATCTTTATAAAGATTGGTAAATCTATACAGTAACTTAAAAGCACATGAAATAACTGCCTGTAACTTGGTCACTGCAATTACATTTAAGATATTTGCATTGACTGTAATGATCTTTCCATATAAATCAAGATGTCAAAGCCATTGTTATAGAATCTCTGCTATAATTCAGTGCTTACTGCCCTCCCCTTGTATGACCTAAGTTTCAAAGGAAGGCCATTCAAAATACCAATAGAGACAGATTTCTTATCCCAGTGGAAAAAGTCTTTCACAAAGGTAAAAAGTCTCAAAAGTTCTAAGCCGGTTCCTCAATCATAACTAATCACTGCATCTTTCCTGCTTCTTTTTCCCCCTCAAGTTACAAAACAATGGATCTGGACCACTTTATTTTAGATGGATTCAAAGAGCTCTTTACTATTCAAGTACTATTCAAAAGCCACTTACAAGAAATAACAATAATAAGAAACCCTAAGGGGTACAAATACCAGGAAATAAGCTACAATTAATATCGAAAAGTCTTATGTGCTGGAAAACCAGTAAATGACTTCCCACACTTGAACTCCCTCTTCAGCTATCCTCTTTTACACCACATTGGGAGTTCCTGTCGGACTTTCAGGCCAAGCAGCAGTCCATGCCAGAGAGCTTAGCCCTGCGCGGTGCTAAGCACCTGTTTCAGAAACAGCAGCGATCACTTTACAAGGTCAATGCTGCAGTACCAGCAAGGATTTTTAAAAAATTGTTACAGTGTTAAGGAACATGAGCTGGGTATGAGTCACTTTTGTCATTCCACAGTCTCACAACAGATTACATAAAGAGATGTTTTCCAGCAAAACAATTTGTCATTATGTCCAGAGTTCAGACAACCCCATCATGGACTTTCATGAACTATAGTAAGAAATTAGAAGTATCTGGTTGGCAAAAATCTAATTTAATAAATATAGTGAACACAAGAGCTGGTTCAAGTTTGCAAGAACATCATGGACTTTCATGAACTATAGTAGGAAATTAGAAGTACCTGGTTGGCAAAAATCTAATTTAGTGAACACAAGAGCTGGTTCAAGTTTGCAAGACTACTTAATTTATAGAATGTAATGGATCACAAAACTCCAGCTTATTATGATTGTGCTCTTACTACTATTGTCCTCAAATACATTCAGTTCTATTGCTTGCTATTTTTTATAAGCACTACAGAATATCTGCTTATAATTTTACATCTTATCCCTAAAATAATTCTATGGACCTACTATTTTGAGGTTGTTTCTATAGCCATATGTCATATTTGCTAGTAAAATTTCTAAACTGACCAGCATTCAGTGTGCTGGAGGGTAAAATTCCATTAGGACTGCTTTTACAATGGACAGAAAGTTGAGTCTCAGGCCTGAACCCCAAAATATTTCAGAATATTTAATGAGTGATCCATGAGTACACTGCTCCATATATTTTTTTCTTTTTTTAAAGTACAGAGACACAATTAGAAGCATCCCTTTTGAACTGCCTGTAGTGATTATTCACGACAGAGACCAACACAGTGAAGTACATTAGACTCGCAAAAGCTTTTAATAAGTTTTCTTACCTTATCTGCCATTATCATGGAGGCCCCGCCATGAATTCCAAGAATTGGAATAGAAGTCTGAGATGAAATAAAATCCAAAATCTGAGCTACTGCCTCCTGATCAGTATCATCTCCAAAAACCACTCCATGGATCTTGGTGCCAGACATCAAGTCGCAAACATGCGTTATGATGCTCTTAGGGTCAGTCTGGTTCACCAGAAGGGTCACCACATTGACATCAACAGTCAGGTCTGCTGACATTTCCCTGGTCCAGAGACCTCTGATATCTCTCTCTGTGATATACTTGGTCCTTCCCAGAATCACTGCAATGTTCAGGATAGGATAACTTTTCTCCACTCCACGAACAAGATCCAAAGGCGCCAGAAGAGCTTGGAGTACCAGGAGAGCACAGCCAATTTTCCTCATCTTTGCCAGCTTTATCCCCTATAAAAGTGATCACATTGTATAAGAAAAGCAGAGAGGAAAAAAATATATACTGTATATGTCCAATGGAGTTTTTAAACAGAGAGCTTCTGGACAAAATGCAAACTTTAGCAGCTTTTTATAATGCATTCTTCATACCTTAGTTTCAATTCAAGCCTCTTATATTGCCTCAAAAAGCTGGTTTGCCAGTGACAATATTACAGCTGGTCTCCCACAAGCAAGGCAAAAAAAGTAGCACAAGTTCAGAGGAAAGACCCATTAAACTATAGTAAGAAATTAGAAGTATCTGGTTGGCAAAAATCTAATTTAATAAATATAGTGAACACAAGAGCTGGTTCAAGTTTGCAAGACTACTTAATTTATAGAATGTAATGGATTACAAAACTCCAGCTTATTATGATTGTGCTCTTACTACTATTGTCCTCAAATACATTCAGTTCTATTGCTTGCTATTTTTTATAAGCACTACAGAATATCTGCTTATAATTTTACATCTTATCCCTAAAATAATTCTATGGACCTACTATTTTGAGGTTGTTTCTATAGCCATATGTCATATTTGCTAGTAAAATTTCTAAACTGACCAGCATTCAGTGTGCTGGAGGGTAAAATTCCATTAGGACTGCTTTTACAATGGACAGAAAGTTGAGTCTCAGGCCTGAACCCCAAAATATTTCAGAATATTTAATGAGTGATCCATGAGTACACTGCTCCATATATTTTTTTCTTTTTTTAAAGTACAGAGACACAATTAGAAGCATCCCTTTTGAACTGCCTGTAGTGATTATTCACGACAGAGACCAACACAGTGAAGTACATTAGACTCGCAAAAGCTTTTAATAAGTTTTCTTACCTTATCTGCCATTATCATGGAGGCCCCGCCATGAATTCCAAGAATTGGAATAGAAGTCTGAGATGAAATAAAATCCAAAATCTGAGCTACTGCCTCCTGATCAGTATCATCTCCAAAAACCACTCCATGGATCTTGGTGCCAGACATCAAGTCGCAAACATGCGTTATGATGCTCTTAGGGTCAGTCTGGTTCACCAGAAGGGTCACCACATTGACATCAACAGTCAGGTCTGCTGACATTTCCCTGGTCCAGAGACCTCTGATATCTCTCTCTGTGATATACTTGGTCCTTCCCAGAATCACTGCAATGTTCAGGATAGGATAACTTTTCTCCACTCCACGAACAAGATCCAAAGGCGCCAGAAGAGCTTGGAGTACCAGGAGAGCACAGCCAATTTTCCTCATCTTTGCCAGCTTTATCCCCTATAAAAGTGATCACATTGTATAAGAAAAGCAGAGAGGAAAAAAATATATACTGTATATGTCCAATGGAGTTTTTAAACAGAGAGCTTCTGGACAAAATGCAAACTTTAGCAGCTTTTTATAATGCATTCTTCATACCTTAGTTTCAATTCAAGCCTCTTATATTGCCTCAAAAAGCTGGTTTGCCAGTGACAATATTACAGCTGGTCTCCCACAAGCAAGGCAAAAAAAGTAGCACAAGTTCAGAGGAAAGACCCATTAGAATTCTTCGTGGATGGCCAAAAAAATTAAAATTACTGACATCATTAAAAAAAAGACATTGTCATCCTTCTCTTTAACCTTCCTGTCTGTCCTGAAATGGGTAAACCACAGAAATCTGTTTTCCTTTGTCCTGAATGTCTACTTAAAACTTAGTCACAGTCTAACAGGAAAAGGTGCTTAAAGTTCAAAATGAGAGAAGCCAGCCAGAGGTCTGTCGGAAACCCCAGTCCATATACCCCATACATCTAACAGCATCCCAGAAGCACGCTGTTTTATTTCTGATCTCTCCTAGACAGCTGCTCCTCAAGTACAGTCTACTGCATTTCTGGAACAGAGTCAGAAGCACAGTATTCTATCTTAATTCTTCTCCCTCCTCTTACGTGGCATTCACTTGAGCGTCTCAGAACTGCTGATCTCAGGCACAAAGTTGCCACCAGTGTTGAAGGGGAGGGTATTCCCCAAGTGAGCATCACTGCATTCGTTTACTTCTTGTCTTCACTGAATCTCTGTAGGGGACTGAATATAGACAGTACGACAGGGAGAGAGATGAGCCATAGAAGTGATCTGAACTATCTGAAAAAGGAAGAAAAGGGAGAGCAGGTCTTACTCTGCAAGATCTCCCTCCGTTTCTGTGCCCCGGGGGATTTCCACCCGCATAACTGGCTCTCTGCTAGTTGCAAGAAGGGAGTCCCTGTGCCACATAAAGCCAAGCTTGTTGCAAAGCGTCACACAGAAAACACTAGCAGGGCTATCCAGTCAGGGACGGCATTTTTCAGATCTCCCCTCTCATCCTGCCGGCCCTATCTCCATCATTAGTAGGAATCATCTGCTGATGAAACACACGCGAAGACAAGGGCTTGCTGTATTGTCACCTCCTTTCGAGGCGGACAAGGAGATGAGCACTTGAGAGACCACTGAACTGCAAATCAGTGCCACTGTGTTTCCTGAGGCATTGCACTGTGAGCCGGGCTCCGAGCGCTGCAGGACGGGAGGCAGCGCGGAAAGCGGTAGAGATAAACAGACCTACAGGCCCGCAGGCACCAAGCCGCTCGGGCTTCCTTCAGACCCCAGCAGTAACAGCGACAACAACAAGCGACACAGCCCCGCTCCCCCCCACCCGCC